TTTATTCCCGCCTCCCCAATCCTCATTTTTGGTTCCTAACTTTTGGCTCCATAATCCCAATTTTTGACTCTCATCTCCCGCAATATCTTTACCCAGTATTTTCAATTTTCATGTTCTTAGAAGACATATTTTACTGGAAGACCCACCATTTCTTAATCCACATAAAAGGGACAATAATAGAAATATTCATTTTAATGATTCCCGCCAATGATTCATAAAAATACCCGTCCATAATTATTTATATAAGACCTGGCAATTATTCATCAATGTTTCCTTTCTTTCCTGAGTTTTGACAAATTTTAAGTGTCATCATCACCGCCAAATCAACCGTTTTTTAGGATGTTATCTACTTCTGTCCCTTTTCTTATATGATAGTTCATCTTAAGATTTTTATTATAATTTCGTCATTATAGTTCCTCTTATTGTTTGTATTATAGTATGACAATATCAAAGTTTCCTACTTGTTTTAAAATAATCAAATTATCAAATACATAATTTTATTCTATTTATATTTAATTGATAACTTTGTTGAAATACTATATATTATATAATATAGTAATTATTCAGGTCAATCGGGCGGGTCGCGGGTTAGTCGGGTCAGGGTCAATCGGATAGGGGTTAATCGGGCAACTGGTTTAATTGGGTTCGGGCCAATCGGATTCGGGTTGGTCGGGTTGTGGGCCAATCGAGTTACGGGCCAATCGAGTTACTGGTCGGGCGGGTTGCGGGTCATTGACTTTTAGTCAATTCGGGTTGCGGTCGGGTTTTGGGTCGGGTTGATCGGACGGGTTATTCGGGTCGAGTTCTGTTTGGAGACCTATACTTGCAGCCCAACAATCCGAGTCCTTTGCGGATTAGGATTTCTTTAAGCCTTGTTCTGTTTGCATTAGAATTTCGTGTTTGTTTATGTTTTGGACTTTCGTAGTAGATGTTTAGCTAGCCTAGGTCTATTGAAAGCTTTCAATTACGTTGTAATCGGCAGATTTTATTGAATTGGTTACAAGCTTGAGTTTGGTTCACAAAGCTTGTTGCTTCGTGAGTTTGAGAGTTGTTTATAAGGAGTTCTAAGCAGCTTGAGTGCTTGTATTGTTCAGCTAATCACGCTTTTAGTGGCCGAGCTTCTACCTATAGTTTACAAGCCTTTCTCCCTTCATGAGAATTGCACAAAACTTCCACCAACACACATTCAAAGCATATCCTGTTTGTGGAGTTCTTGCTCGAGGGAACTCTTGGATTCCTTAGTTGTGCTATTTTGATCAGTAAACCTCATATGGGGGTTCATCATAAAGCCAAAACAAAATCTAGTTTCATATAAAAGAAATCTCATTAATAGTATTCATATCCGGTCAAAATTTCTCAAATGAATTTTCTTATTCTGCTAAGGAAACAAATCAAATGATCGTATTTTTGGCAATAAAATGATACAAAACTGAGAAGTAAGAGAAAGTAAATACTTTGAGAGAATTTTGAATTCAAAATCTTTCAAGTTGGTTTTGGGTTTCAGGGTTTTTTTAGTTTTGGCAAGAGGACTTCTAGATTTGAAGAGAAGTGGGTGGACTGTGACTTACCATTATGAGCCCACGCTCACCTGTATCTTGTGTATCATTTATTTTATAACGCACATCCATTATTATATAAGACCATCCATAATATCATGAAGAATTGACATCTGACTAATTTCGGGGTTTGACCAACAAATGCTCATCCTTACCACTTATTATGAAGAAAATAGGCTTACTATTGATCAGAATAGCTTAGCGTAATGCATTAATTAGTTGTGATCCCATGTTATATAATTATATTAGACTAATGTGACCAATTAAAGTTCAAAATTCGATGTTTTAAGACTACTCTTGGAGTGGGTGCATAGTCGCACTCATTTTGATGTGTATAGTATTTAAGCAACCATATATTACCATGTATACATATGGTAAAGACAGGTATACTCTAGGTGATCTGGTCGTTAGGTGTACTTTAATGAGCTCCGACCAATCTCAACAGTCAATTGTTGTTTATATTAAATTGATATTCGAGTATAGAGAATCGTGACTTAGAGTTGATTCATTGCAGATTAGGTGGATTAGAAGCACTCACTTTTTTTTATTAACGACCTAATTGATTATAAGCATTGCTATTCGTCGCTCTAAAATTTCTTATTCGTCGCACTAATTAAATCAAAGTTACTTTAATGTCCTTAGTTCATTTATGTGTCTCGCAAACACTTAAAATCCCTTGTTCGTTACGTGTCCCGTATCTTGCCGGCGATAGGTTTTCAACCCACCCGCCGCTACAACAACAACAAAAACTCATCGTTTTCATTTATAAAAAATGGTCATGAAGCTTTTTGCCAACTGCTTAATAAACCAAATTAACCGTTGTCATTTTTTATAGTGTCTCCCCATCCATTCAGCGACACCGGTAGATTAGCAGTGGCGGTCAGAGACAAAAGTAGTACCCTCGACCGCTTATTCTTCTTCTTCCTCCTGCTGGTCCGTCTTCTTCTTCCTTCCTTTGGTCCGCTTCGTCTCCCTTCTTCTTCTTCCTCCTTGTGGTCGACAACAACGACGAGATTGGGTTGAGCGCCGAATTTGTGTGGGTGAGGGACGATGGTCGGCGAGAGGTATTGGGGTCGGAAGGGATTGCGGTGAGCGGCCAATGAGGGTGAGGGATTGACGAAGTCGGGGTGGGGGAGGGACTGGTTGGTGGCGGATTTAGGTGGGGAGGGATAGAGGTATTGTTTGGTTTATGGTTTATGATAGAAATTGGGTTGAGGGGTAAATAAGTCAATTTGGTGTGTTTTAGGGCGATAAAAATTGAATTTTACATCGACAAATAGCGATTCAGTTCATTAAAGTGTAAATTGGGTCACAGACTGGACAAGTAACCCGATTCTAATAACACATACAGAAACATATGTGGGTAATCACTCCACACACTTAGAGAGTCCCATTCTTTTGCCCTTTGGTCAAAAAATGGGCCAGAGAATTACATTTGTTGGGGTAAAATTCCAGCTCACTTTACACCGCGAGATTAGAGAAAATTCCTTAGAACAATCGTAAATTGCTTTGCATCTCGTCTGGAGTTCAATATGCTCATTATCCCCATTCTTCAACCTTAACACTAGCTTCATGCAATCGGATTCAATAATTACAGGGCCTAACTGATGTTTTTTTTATCAAGGCATGAGACAAAGACTCGACACGATTACAATACAGACTCAAACCCTACGCGTTGGTCTGTATCTTGTCTTAACCTATCGATCAAGAAGAGAGGTTCTTGGAGCAAACAACTTATTGCACTCTATCTTAGCCCACCCTTCAACCAAGGTTCAGAAGCGGAAAGCAACAAGCTCCCTTCTGAACCAAAAACTCTTGGAGGCATGGGTGAACGAACTCTCTTCACATGTTGGAATACATAATCGACGACAGAGGAGCATAGCAGAGCATTTTAGTCATTTTTTATTTGACAAGTCACCCATTTAACTGTCAAGTATGTGAGTTAACCGCCATGTAGCATAAACTTAACAAAGATGGACGACAAGTGGCCAATGATGGTGTAAAGTTAGTGACCAACTGACCATTAGTGTAATTAAAAAAATTTAGTCGCAAACGTGAAACAAAATAGTAAACACAGTGTCCAAAAATGCTATTTACCCTATTTATTTTATTGCTCTTTCCCAATTTTCCGTACCTTTCCCTCAAATCTACTGATTTAAATTTAAATTTGAGAGATGTCAAAAGGTGTCACTTTTGGCACCATATTCAAATTCACTGTCTGGTAGGGACTATAACCATAAATTGCAAATTTCATCATTTTATATCACCCTTTGTATCCATTGTTGATGATCATCAATATCACTTTAACAATAACATACCAAATAACAAATGAAAAGTTCCCTAAGAATTGTCCGCATAACAGGAGTCCTCAAAATAGTCAACAATTATAGGTGAGATCAAAGTAGCATGCTATTTCCATCTAACCTACGAACAACCAAAAATATGTGAATATGCGTCATCCCGACTATGAAACCAGAACAAAATCTAGTTTCATATAAAAGAAATCTCATTAAGATTGGTGGTCTAAGTATTCAAATCCGGTCAAAATTTCTTAAATGAATATCTAGTTCTATTAATGAAACAAATATAACTTTGAAATTATCACGAATGATCGTATTTTTGGCAATAAAATGATACAAAAGTGAGAAGTAAGAGAAAGTAAAGATTTTGAGAGAATTTTGAATTCAAAACCGTTATGAGTCCACGCTCACCTGTATCTTGTGTGTCATTTATTTTATAACGCAGATCCATTATTATATAAGACCATGCATAATATCATGATAAATTCACCTCTGACTAATTACGGGGTTTGACCAACAAATGCTCATCTTTACCACTTATTATGAAGAAAATATGTTTACTATTGACTAGAAATGAATCCAATTTGTAGAAGGGCAATAATTAAGTGCATAGTTAACAATTAAAAAAAATTTGAATTTCTCCTTAGACAAACCAAAATCCTTGTCACAAAAGGAAAGGAAAGAGCAAAGGGTGCAAGAGTAAATACACAATTTAGCCAGAAAAGAACAGTCACACCTCCCTCCAGTCTCTCCCCCACTCGCTCCATCAAAATGCCACGTCATTCAACACCACACGTGGCTACATCTTCACTCGCCTGTGCACTCAACCGCGTGTCGCGTGCGGGGATACCACGCGCGAAAAAACCGTCAGCAGCCCCATTATAAATAGTGATGCTCGCACGATCAAAGGGGCAACTCTTCAGTATCCTTGGCACGGTTCAACTCTTCTTCCGTGAAGCAATTTCAATTCCCTTTTCCTTTGGTTAGACTTGTATCCCCAAAACCCTAGAAATCCAAACTCCGATATGGACTCCACGTCGGCGAAGGAGCAGTTGCGTCGGCGGATTCATAACGACCGAGTAGCGAGCGACTCTCAGCACCCGCCGCCGCCGCCTATGAAGAAGGCGAAGCAGGAACCCGTCGGTGGTTTTTTCATGCCGTCGAGTTTTCTCGCGCCGCTGCCGCAACGGATGGTTCTCGCTCAGTATTCAGAAGCGCCGCAGCGCGCCGGCGTGTCGAGCGGCAGTGGTAATCGGAAGCAAGAGGCGGTGGTTTCTGGCGTCCGTGGAGGGAAGGTGGAGGAAACAACGGCGAAGGTCGGCGACGGCGTTTCGCCGGTGGCCCGAGGGTGCAGGCAGTTCTGGCGCGCAGGAGATTACGAGGACGCCAATGGCATTATTCCTGCCGCTCACTCTTCCGGCGGTTCGTCTCAATTTAATTTTCCTTGGAATTTCAATCTACTTTCTTGATCTTTAATTCTTTTTTTTTCCCCCTTCGTTTTATACATCACACAAATAAATTCTAGAACTATTTATACAAATGCTTGAAATTTTTGTCTTGGGTGGGTAATGGAAAAGGTTGAATGAATGTGGGCTTTGCATGCATGCAGTTGGATTGGATCATGTGAGAGTCCACCCAAAGTTCTTGCACTCTAATGCTACAAGTCATAAATGGGCGCTTGGAGGTAATCATCATCCCCTAATTAAGTAACCCATCAATCATAATGACTAATTAGTAACTGATTAATTCTCTTCTTTCTTGGTCACCAGCATTTGCTGAACTTCTCGACAATGCTGTTGACGAGGTATAGATATAGTTTAATTAGCTACTTTTCCATAACTGAAATCGTTTTCTTTCATATCGTCTTCAGCTAATTATCTTGTGCATGCGTACAATTTGTGTATGTTGTATCTAAATAATAGATTGTTCATGGAGCCACTTACGTAAACGTGGACGTCCTCAATAACCGGAAAGATGGCTCCAAGATGCTTCTAGTCGAAGGTATATTTTAGATAATTTTGTGATAATTAAGCTTAAGCTAATTAATCATGGTGGACTCCTATAGCTTATTATTAATGAATTTCTATCCGCAGATAACGGCGGCGGAATGACGCCGGACAATATCCGGCAATGCATGTCTTTGGGGTATTCAGTTAAGAGTAAAAGTTCCAACACTATCGGCCAATGTGAGTTTTCATTCAATTCGAGGTTTTTACAGTCGCAATTAACAATGATTTTATGGTAATTAGTTAATAATTAATAATTAAATATGAACAGATGGAAATGGGTTTAAGACGAGTACAATGAGACTGGGGGCAGATGTGATTGTGTTTTCCCGCTGCCCAGCAGCTGACGGTAAAAGGTAAATTTCTATTTCTTTTTAACTAATTTTTCACTGCGGCTAATATCCGTTTTGCCCTAGTAATTAGCTAATTAATCTTGATGAACATTCCGTGTAGCCAAACGCGGAGCATTGGGCTGCTCTCATACACCTTCTTGAGGTCGACCAAAAAGGAAGACACTGTTGTTCCCATGGTAATTAAGATTCAGGATTCACTTTGGTTTGTCCTTAAACTAGTTAATAAGATTTACTAATGACTTTGACCCCTTGCTGCATTTGCAGGTTGACTTTGAGCAAACAGGACAAGGTTGGAAGCGGTTGATAAGGTCAACTTCAGATGATTGGAACATGAACATGAGAACTATCCTCTTGTGGTCTCCTTTTGTATCCGAACAGGATCTCATTGGCCAGGTAAATTGATTAAAGTTAAATTAAACCCTTATTAATTAATATCCATCTTTCTTATGTGAATTGCTTCATAGATAGTGACTTCATCATTGGTATTTGTTGTTTTTTTGGTCTTGTAGTTTGACTACCTGGGAAATAAAGGTACCAGAATCATAATCTACAACCTATGGGAGGACGACGAAGGACAATTGGAGCTGGATTTTGAGACCGATCAAGAGGTACCCAAAAATCTACATACTATCTAAAATAATCACCAATCTTTTCTCCAAGTTCTAGTAAGATCATTCGATTTTTGGGGGCAGGACATTCAAATCAGAGGAGCCAACAGAGATGAGAAGAACATAGAGATGGCCAAACAGTATCCCAACTCCAAACACTTCCTCACTTACAGACACTCATTAAGGGTAATTAACACCAAATCTCCCCCTAGCTAGTTATTAATTTTCCTCCTAATCATCATGGGTTAGTCAGCTAACAATATCTGGGATTTCATTTTTTTGTTTGGGCAGAGCTATGCTGCAATTCTGTACCTGAAACTCCCAACCGAGTTTCGAATTATGCTGCGCGGCTCAGAAGTTGAGCATCATGATATTGTCAAGGACATGATTGAGCCTAAGACGACGACTTACAGACCACAGCAACTTGCAGATGGAATGTCGAACAACCATGAGGTAGTTTAATTCATGTTTGGTGGGAATTTCGGAGTCTTGTATTAAGAAAGAGTGTTGTTTTCGATGGGGCGATATGAAAATTCAAAAATGTTTTTTTGTTGTTGTTTTCAGGTTAGTGCAGTGCTGAGTATTGGATTTGTGAAAGATGCTCGCCATCACATTGATGTGCAAGGGTTCAATGTCTACCACAAGAACCGGCTAATCAAGGTAATTAGTTTGCATAAATTTTCTTTATGTTGCTCTTGTTTATTGAGTATAGTCCATTTCATTTGATCTCCTGCAATCTGAAACTGGTGTCTTGGACTTTCTCCAGCCTTTCTGGAGGGTCTGGAATGCTGCAGGAAGTGATGGCCGTGGCGTCATAGGTTCGTATTTCATTTCATTTCGATCACTGACTCAGTTTCTTCCTTCCTGATGTTGGCTTCAAGATTCAAACTTCAATGAAATTCGATTACTGTTCAGGCGTTCTGGAAGCAAATTTTATTGAGCCAGCACATGATAAACAAGGGTTTGAGCGCACAATAGCACTCTTGAGACTGGAGGCAAGATTGAAAGATCACCAGAAGCAGTTCTGGTATGCCAAAGTTTCAACCTTTCTTCGCCTGTTTTCTTCCAAGTTTCGTTCATTCATTTTACTGTGCTGCTGTAACTTTTTTTTATTACGGATTATCAGGACAAGCAAGTGCCATGAGATTGGGTATTCTCAAAGGGTGAAACCGAAAAATACCACTCCATCATCTAGCAAGAAAGCTAATAACAATATCGTCAGCAAAAGCAGTCCTCCATTAATTCAGGATGGAGAGATTCTTGCCCTCGCTGGGTCTAATGAGAAGAGCAAGATGTCTGGTCTAAAGCGTTCTGAAAATGGTTCATCAGAAGAAGATGGAGAGGGAAAACTATAAAAAATCGTTCTATTGCTTTAAAAGATGAAGAAATTAATTGTGTCTCAAAAGGTGAAGGTAAGTTCAATCTGCTGCAAAGCTTAGAAGAAGAAAGAGTGAAGAGCAAGAAACTAGAAACTGAGCTTGAAGAGAAGACCAAAGAGCTGAAGGAAGTTGAAAAGGAAGCTCAAACTTCGCTTGACGATATTGTGGTGCTGAAACAAATGATTAAGGAAGAGAAGGAATGGAGGGATGCTATTGAGCAGAATTTGAGGGAAAGTCTCAAGGTAATGTGAATCGATAACAAATTTTTTTGATTCTGTTGTAAAGTTGCTAAAACTGTCATGCTAACGGGAGACTTGTTTTGTGGGTTGTTTGTTTTTCTTCTCTAGAGTGCTGAGCAGACCATTGAGACATTGCAGGAGAGAGTGAGGGAGCTTGAAGGAGGTCAGGTGGAAGATGGATCAGGGTCTAGCTAAACACAGTTTTACTCAGGAATCCACCTCGGCATGTGATTCTTGTAGAACTGTAGTTTTCAATTGAAATGATGTATAGTTTGATTAGTAGAGGCTAATATTTTGTGGAAACATCTGAAAAGAATTTGACATTAATCCTGGAACTAGATTCTTATCTTGTTCTCTGATATAATGTAAATTGTTACAGTCCATCTAAATCTAATAGAAGAATAGTTCAGTTTACCTGTCAGCAGTGTGTTTTTCTTCTTGTAAATTTAGAACAGATCAGTTGGCATTTATTAAGCAGTTTTACAAGAAAAAAGTTGAACCAGATTTCATTTTCAGATAGCAAAACAACACACTATTATCCAATACATTTCACACAAAATCCAAAATCCAACCTAATCCAGTAACAAATTTGTAATCTACTTATTCAACAACAAGTACACAAATCTCTGTATACAGTACTCATCTTCTTTATACAATAGTGTAATAGTACATTATGAAATCATAAGCAATGAATTCTTAAACCCCATATGTTATGGTGGAGCAGTAGGAGGTGATGGAGGAAAGCTTGGAATCCATGTTCTTGGATCCCCCAGACTGAAAGCTGGTGGCGGTGGAGGGAAAGAAGCAGGAGTAGGTGAAAATGGAGGGAAGCTTGGAACCCAAGTTCTTGGATCCCCTAGATTGAAAGCTGGAGGCGGGGTGGCTGAAATAGAGAAGGCACTGGTGGGAATGGTGGGAAAGGGAATGATGGCAGTGGAGGGAGTTGAGGCAGAGGAGGCAAAGGTGGGAAAGGAAATGGCAGAGAAGGCGGCTGCGGCTGAAAGGGCAATGGAGGGAAAGGGAATGGTGGCAGTGGAGGGATCTGAGGCAGAGGAGGGAAAGGGAAAGGAAATTTATATGGTGGGAAGAAAGGGAAGAAGAACTTTGAAGAGTTGAAAGGACTAGGAAGAGACTCTTCTTCCAAATTGCTGCAAAGGGTTTGGTTAATTTTGGTTGGCTTGTAGCTCAAGGCACTGAAGCTGTAGATGCAGAGGTTTTGCTGTCTGGATTTCACCGAGATTTGGTCTGTTGTGGTTCTGAGACCAGGAAGGCTGCAGCTTGAAGCTGAGGACTTGATCAAACTTGCTTGACACATCGATTGAATAGCTGAGCCATCATCGACGCAGTCGATTCCTTCGACGTTTGGTATTTCGAGCTTGTAGACTCCATACTTGTTGGTGGTTCTGTTGACTGAGAAGTGGATCTGTTCCTCTGTTCTTGGCGAGCTTGCTCTCAGTATGCATTGAACGTGAACCTCGGCATCTGATGATATTGAAAATGGAACACCCACCAAAAAGTTATATTATATATGTGGACGCAAATTCACAATTGGTAACAAATCTTTGTTTGGATGTAAGATTGTAACTATTTCCATCAGTAACACACAGCTTTGTTTGGATGGCTAAAGTGAAGCACAATTCACTCGCTTAATAATCTCTATTTTCCAAGAATCACTTTAAAAAGGGATAGGAACGATTTAAGATTTGGTTTAACCGAAATGAAACAAAGAAGTATTTACGAATCGAAATTAACTATTATTAAAATGAAATCTAGTATTTAATATTTAAAATCTAAATAATATTTTAGTATCGGGTTTCGGTTTATCGATTTCAACCAAACATCACAGTGTAGGGGAAAATAGAAGAATGAACCAAACTTATATCAAACATTATCTAAATTGGCAGGAGTTTAAGCCTGCTGTATAAAGAAAACCACCAAAATCAAACAGTTCAGTTTTGGATAACATAATAAATAAAGTCATGAAATTTAGTATCGGGTCCTGTTGAACCAAAAACCTATAATTGTATAATGTAGGTAATGATAGAATCCGAATGCATTAACAATTGGTTTCGTGGTGTAGTTGGTTATCACGTCAGTCTAACACACTGAAGGTCTCCGGTTCGAACCCGGGCGAAGCCAACTTTTTGCTGATAATTTTTTCACTCCTTGAACACTGCTATACTATGTACTGCGATTCCAACATTGGCTGAACTACTGCAATTCCAAAGAAATGAGCTTTTGAGCATAGTAATTACCTGGCAAGAAGTAACTGTGCTTGGAGAAAGTGGAAGTGGAGCAAGCATCACAGTACACAGAACCCATAATGGTAATCCTGGTCCCCTGAGGATTGTCCGGCTGAGCAGAGATGCATAGTGAGTGGAGCGTGGTGAAGAGAATTGCAAGGAAAATGAATGGAGGAGCCATGGGAGCACAAGCTGCTTCTTCTTCTTCTTCTTTGAGCTAGAGCATTTTGTAGTAAGGGAGGAATTTTGTGAAAAGAAGAGAACTTTTCTGCTTGTTGTTATCATTGCCTGCAGCTGTGTTCTTTTTGTTGGTTGGATTTCGGTGGGTTGTGTGGCAAATAATGGAGCCCGTGACTAGCTAGCTAGTTTGGTGTTAGGAGGAACTGTAGTTGTTTGAATGGGAAAGCATGGAAAAAAGAAGGAAATGAAATCCTCCATTAATGGATATCATTCCACTAGCTAGAAAACAAGGACATGTGAGTTCCTGCTTCTTCTTTCTTTTTTCCTTTTGGCAGCTACTTCTAGCAAGTGGGCAGCTCATAGCTGTGGGGACTCGAATGCCAAATTTCCAGACTTGAAATTGCTCTCTATCTATATCATATTATCTCTCTCTCTCTCTCTCTCTCTCTCTCTCTCTCTCTCTCTCTCTCTCTCTCTCTCTCTCTCTCTCTCTCTCTGTGTAATCTGATCACAACCACCACCAAATTCAGGGTTTTGGAAACACAGGTTTTGGCAGCAGCAGCTGGGAGGGGCATTTGTATTTTCTACTTTGTAGCTGGCAAATACAAGTGAAGTTGTGAACTTCTTTGTCCCTCACAAAAAGTGCACATATAGAGTTTGTGGTGGTAGTAAGCCTAGGCTAGCTTGCTTCAATCATTTGTTGGCTTCTAGTCTAATGGAAGTCCCTGTTTATTAACAAAGAGATATATTGAAATGAGAATCAAAATCTAAACTCTGGATCCAATTAAATCAAAGTAGAAGATATCAGAAAAAAGATTAGTAGATAAGCGGCAAAATTTTTGGCATGTAAACTATATCGTAGTCGTACAAGAGAATCATCAAAGTTGTAGTGCGACAAAATATTTTTGCTACAAATTAGCATAACAAATATAGTTGTGCTCATCTCTTGGTTCATTTTTTCTGTTTATTTAATAAAATTTTATCGCCCATTATAAAAATTAAAATAATATAGAAAATTATATGATAAATATTTATAAGAATCATGATAATGTGAGTGTCTAAATCTAAAATTATTTGCACACCTATGGCACAATACTACTAGGTCTGAGCAGGTTTTTCTTCTTACCTCAAGTTTGTGATGCCAATGCCAAAAAAAAAAAAAAAAGGTAAACGAGATCTTATAAAATGAATACTTGTTTTGAATGCCCAAAGTAAACAAAATTATATGTAATTGATAATTTTATCTAATTCAAAGAAACTTTTATATAGATTGAGAAACTTAAAACTTACTGATTTTAAAAAGATATATGATCAAATTTAGTTCCATTGTATGCTAAGTTGTGAAACAATTACTATTTCACTTTCAACCTCTCAATAACACAACTAATGGTGAATTCAACGTGCTAATTGTATTTCCAAACTCCAAATCCGAACTTCCTAATGCAATCATCTATGGACTATGCGTGACAACTAAACTAACAAGGTCTAGGTTTATCTAGAAGAAGTTTGCGCTTTGTGAGCAAACCAATATAACCGTTCATCGCCACAACAAATAATTAATTATTGCGAGCGATCTCTGGCAGTCTGGCTGAATAAGGCAGATCATCAAATGGGCAACATTACAGACATAGAAGCCAGATAGATAGGATGGGTAAGTGGGCCTCCTAGGGGTTTCGCGGCCCAAGAGCAGCTCCGAATGGTCCATCATCTTGGCGTCCCAGCACCAAACCATGCATAGGCGTTAATACCTTGGATGGTTCCAAGTTAGACTGCATTTCATTTTTGGTCCATGTCACTTGGCCTGGCCAGTGTCATGGCCAAGCAGTGATAACATGACGTCTACCTCGTTGGTTTGACTTTGGAGAACATATATATTAGGCGTCAGCAGAGCAGAAGAGAGCAGAGCAGACAGGATATGGGAAGGAAGAGGACACATAAAGAGAACACGCCTTGGCCCTCCTGGCTGCGGTTTGTTGTTTACCTCAAACTCAGTAGCTGCCGAATTATTCAATCAGTTTATTGGAGCAATAACCCCAATCACATCCCCCTATATATCAATATTTCATCATTCCATTTCCATGCATCCACTCAAATAACGGTGTGTTTGTGTTACAAGTTATTTGATGATGGCATGTTATTACCTGACAGACGATTGAGATGCATTTAAAAATATATTACTGTTCGAATTCAGTGTATTTGTGCTTAAATTTGGTGTTTGCAAAACCGTGACGAACCAACAATATGATTGGAAAAACTGCCTTGTATGATTGAAATTACACAGGTTTCTCGAGACCCAATCATTACTAACATTTAAAAATGTATTTTTTTAAGCTGACGCAAATGTGCCAGTTATTTAGCTTGACATATTCATCGAACCAAATAGGTATCGATCTGAGAGGAACATTTGTCTCCTGTGTAGGGCTGTCAATTTGGTGTGGGTTGGTTAACCAAACCATTAAGTATGAAAAACCAAAAATCAAAACACAATCCAAAAAATCAAAAACCAAAACCATTAAGGCCCTTATTGGTTTTCGGTTGCCAAAAACCAATAAGGGCTTAATGGTTTTGGTTTTGGTTTGGATAACCAAAAAAACCAACATGTACTCATACACTCATATTTATTCTCATTTCCCTCCTTTTTATTGAATAAACGTCATAATAATTATAAATGGCCATTACAATTATTGGTTGGCATGCGTGTCAAAAAACCAAAAACAAAAATATTTGTTGATAAATAATTTTGTTCTTATTGGTTTCTTAATGGTTTCTATTGGTTTTTCGGTTTTAAACCAAACCAAACCATTAAGTTGCTTATTGGTTTAAAACCAAAAAAACTGAAACTATTAGCTTTCCAATTGGTTTGGTTTCGGTTAAAACCAAAAAAACCAAAAACCATATGGACAGCCCTACTCCTGTGTTGAGTTCTATGTAAAAGTTACCCCTAGTGAATTTTTGTAGTGTTTTCCATTTTAGTACATTACTCTCTCTGATTTTC